GTGTGGCATTAAGATTGCTTTCCTTCCTTTGCCATTTCTTTTGTTGACGTGTGGAGAGAATAGGTAGAGGATGGTTGGTAAGGAAGGAGTTGGAATTGTCCTTTTTCGTTTCATTGAGTGCTCTTTCTTGAATTCATGCAGGTGAGACAGAGGATGAAGTGTGATTTGGGCAGATCCTTTTTCCTGCCAGTTCCTGGGTTATCGAGTAGCTAGTAGGTGCATACAACTACTTCAGACTGGGGGAAAAAGAAACTCCAGTGATTTAGTCTTCCCATTAGCTATTTCTCTGTTAAGTGAAGGCCAGGGGCAAGGCATGGACTCGAGTAACTAAGAGGAGTTGAACCTTAAAGACGTTTTTGTGGTTAAGGTACCATGCTGGCAGACAGCAGACGTTGGTGAGGCAGGGCAGAAACTCACTTGGAGATGGACCTCAAATGCATCGTACAAGTTTTGGATGTCGGTCCAAAGGGTTGGAAATCTGTTAGCTGGTTTGTTTCTTCTGTTGTACTTCTGGGAGCAGCCCTTGAGAGGGATGCCAAGTATCTTGGTATGTCAGATGAACATGGTGCTTAGAAGTGGATGTGTGTCTCTCGTGGTTTGGGAGGGGTATCTAGCACTGAGACAGACACCCTACTGATGAGAACTGAACCTGAGAATGAGACATAATACTATACTTTGCAGCATTAGCAGACATTCCGTGGAGCAGTTTTCCGATGCAAAGCATTTTGTTGCAGGGCAGTACCACCTGAATTCCTCACTGACCCTGAGAACAGCAAGGTATTTAAATTCTCTGGTGCCAAGCTGCCTTTACCTCTCAGTTTGGCCCTACAGAAACTGTGAGTCAAAAGATTTTGTCACTCTTCTCAGCTGTGCAGTTCAGAACATACCGATTACCACACCTCCATTCCTATTCTGTAAAACATGAAGGTGACAGTGTTTGCCTGTTCTGCCACTATGCTGTGAGAATAAAGCTATAAATACTGGGCAATTGTTCAGGTGCTGCAGAGACAGCAGCCAAATAAGTAACTTCTACGATTTGAGCTGATCCCTGTGTTCGTGGGCACAGCATGTGCTTAGGAAGCGTTCTGTTACAGGCGGCAAATGGCATCTGTGCGTACTTCAGCTGCAGACACAACCATCTGCTGCTCCATTTGGGGCTGCTGGAACCCATCCAGTCTCCTGCTTGGGATATTACAGCTGAGACAAGAGCCCGACTGCAAGCAACAGAAGAACTTGCATGCCTCTAGGTGCTATCATTACGAACCATCCTACTGCCAGCACAGATGGAAAGATGTCAGGGGTGAAGTATTCCCAGACTGCCACAGATACAGAAACACTGCTTTTCTCCTTGCACTGATGTGGAAGTGACACGGGAGGATTGCTTGGATGGTCTTTCTCCTTGCATCTCAGGCTTTGCATTCTGGTGCTCTGGCTATTTCAGGACTGGCAAAGACATGACCTGTCTTCAGACTAAAGAAAAAAAAACCCCACCCATCTTTGATGGCATTTATAGTTCTGAGATTAAAAGTCCAGAGTGCCACTGCAGGTGATGCTGGGGATTAGGCTGGAGCACTATGGTGACATAATGAGATTAGCTTTTAGTAGCAAATCCTGAAGTTAATGCCATAAGCTTGGCTGCACTGGGACAAACACCTGGAGTTAGGCGTTATGCAATGGTCATAGGGCAGAACGTGACTTCATGCAGGGGAGAAAAAGTTGGCAATTGTTTATGTTCCAGAAATGCACTCAGTCAGACCATTCTAGCATACTAATTAGCACAGAATTTGATGAAGGGCTGGAAGCTCCCCCTCGGGCACTGGTGAAAGTTACTGCTGTCCTCTCTGGGAAGAAAGCAAAGGGCTCTGAGTGCAGCAGTTCTGCCCTCTGAGGCAGGAGAGATGACTCCCACACAAGAATTCCTCTCTTATAACTGTTTAGTCCCTGTGAAGTGGAGCTTGGGTCATGTGCAGTCTGATGCAGAAGAGGTCAGTGCATGTAATATAATGCTCAAAAATACAAAAATGGACATATCATGGGGAAAGTTACGGGCTTTGTTCTCCTAAATCCTGAGAAAATAACTCCTGTCTAAAAGACAGTCTCCAATGCTTTGCCTTAGCTTTCTTTGCAATCTTTTTGTGCTGTTTCTCTTCTGGGTGGTATTAACAAACATGAGACCCTAATTGCAGCTGCACCCAGAATAAGGGCCTATCTAGCTCCATATCCCATCTCCATCAGTGTCCAAAAGGTACTGCTTAGGCACAAGTTAAGGACAGGTGAAATATATCATCATGATTCCCAAGGACAGGACATTTCTCCAAGCCCTAAACGTGTCTTTGTGGCTCATAGTAGTCATATCCTGAGCTGGTCCTTAGCTCAAGTTTGGCATCTTAATGCAAGCATGCCAAATGAAAGGCAGTGTTATCCTGCTTACTGTATGCATTACAATATTTCATTATGTTTAATACCTTTATCTTTAATCCTGTCACAATTATACTTCCCGTAATTTTGTCACCTGATGACAGATACCTAGAAATGATAAGCAGAGAGTTGTGTCAGTCCTTGCTGTTATCTTGCAGACAGAGGGATCTGAGAGAAGCGTGCGCCTGCCACACGCAGCAGCCCAGCAATGAGCGAGAACCCACCCACCACCAACCTCAGCACTGGAGAGACACCAGCCGGTCCCACTACGCCACGCAAGGGGCCTCCCAAGTTCAAGCAGAGACAGACGAGGCAGTTCAAGAGCAAGCCTCCTAAAAAAGGAGTAAAAGGGTAAGGGCATTTTGGAAAGAAAAGAAACCATGCTAGTTGGGGGACTTGCCACTGCTAAGATGGGCCTCTGCAGTACCATCTTCCCTTGGGCAAAGGACTCAGGAGGCTTCTCCATGCCCCCTGGTGCCATCAGCTCTCCTGCCTGGAGCTGCTCCTTTGCCTGCTGCCCACCCACACTTCTCCTTCCCTGGCTGGGGTGTGCAGAGCAGCTCCCCTTTCCTGGGTTCTGCTGGCCCAAACTCACTGCTTGCCTGTTCTTTCCTCCCCTAGGTTTGGAGATGACATCCCAGGCATGGAGGGACTGGGCACAGGTAAGCACTGCAGGATGTTGTTGTCATGTTCTGCTTTAACACAAGTGCAGTCGTGCTTCAGCACAGGAGAGCGGTGGCCTCTCTGTCTCCTTGGTCTCTTTGCAGCTCTCAGGGTCACCAGAGAAAGCTGCTATTACCTCTGCAAGCCACCACAGTCATGCTTATGCTTACATACGCTACAAGACAGAAAGACAACTTAGGCACGCTTCAATTTCTGAATACATTCATTTGGCTGTAAATGTGCTTGTTTGTCTTTGTTTTCTGCTAATACTCTGCCTAAGAATTTGAGCAGAATGAAGCTCTCAAAGAAATGCCAAATGCTAAGCTATTAATACCAAAAATCACAGGAACTAAATGTCAGATGGTTAAGTATTTATTTTATCACCAGAATCCTAATTTTAAGAATGTTATGCACCCGTCTGGAATTTAGAACCCCACACTGGATGAGCTGTAGCCAGTCAGAACTTCTTAGGTATCAATAACTACTGTGCCTATCGATGAGTTACAGATCCTGAATGTTGCAGACTGAAATTATTCAGCACCTGATTTAAGATTGCACGAGTCTTCAAGGAGATCAGTTTGGCTACAGGCAGTTTATAAGAACTGGAGAAACCACATAACCAGAATGAATTTTTACACCAGTCTACATAGTCACTGAAGAGTCTATAAGAAATGCTGGCTTGCTTTTGCTCACAGAGAAAGATGGCACAGGAGAAGATACACCCATCTGGTTTGATCTGGTGGGTAGTACCAGATTTGAAGAGCTCATCTGCTCATTTAACCTTCAAGTGGAGTCTCAGTCTTGCTCTTCCTGAGTAAATCTGTGATTCCTGAGTAAATCAGCTTTTCTGTTAATACAAAAGAAATCCAAGAGCAGTGACCAGAACCTATTTCTCATTTTCTCTCTTTTGCAGATATCACAGTGATTTGTCCATGGGAAGCTTTCAGCCATCTGGAACTGCACGAGCTGGCCCAGTTTGGGATCATCTAAGGTGCCAGCATCTTTACTGGTGTCACCTGGTGACTCCACAGATCCCAGCATGGTTTTCATCACCTTTGACACTTATTTTTGGCCCTTACATCCACCTGTTTATGGGAAGGGTGATTTTGTAAGAGCTAGTCATGAGAAAGTCCTTTGCAGATTAATTTGGCAAAGAAGTTATTCAGGACCCTGAACAGACTTCATACTCCATGTGATGAAACTACTGAAAAAATGTCTTAATACCTCCTTCACCATATCCTGTCTTCTCCCACTGTCATAGATTTTCGTGTGTATGGAGATAAAGGGAGGCTGTATTTGAACTTTTCTCCTGGTTAACTTTTCCCCTGGTTATCCAAGATACTGTGTGCATGGATGTGCGTGTATTTCCAGACCAAGTCCATTCTGTTTTCTTCCTTCTCTTCCCGACAGCTTTCTATGTAAGATTTCTGTGAGCATGTCCCTAGGTTATCCAAGCCACTAATTAGTTGCTGAGAGTTTTTCTGCAGATAACCGGATCAGAGCCACCAGTCCAGACATTAGGCTATTTTTATGTAAAAGGAGGGGTTCGCCAAAAGGAATCTGCTGCTAAGATTTACCTCATCAGCAAGAGAAGAAAAAGGCTTGCAAATGTTGTCTCTGCTGTACGGCTCACCAGCTATGAGCCATGAGACTCTGGCTGTTCTCATAATGTTAAATGAAACTATGTGTGTCTGAGATCAATAGCTAAGTGAATTAATCCCACTATTCATTCCTTTTGTGCTCCTGAGTGGTTGCAATTCCAAAGCAGCAGCACTGCAAATGACATTGTGTTTCCTCTCCTTTGTTGGGAGGGCCTTGTGTGACACTTGCACTGTCCCCAGGCCCATACATATTTACATAAGGCATTCACTCCCCAGGACATGTTTGCTGCCGGTTAAAAGGACAGAGAGTCATTATGATCTGTCACCAATCAGTGCCAGTAGTGCTGCCTCATCTAGCAGAAGATGGCATTGCGTTAGTTGCTCCCTCTTCCCTGTATTTAGCACAGGGCAAGTCTCCCTTCACCCACCTCTCCTCATCAGCA